GAAGGAGGGGGAACACACTTGAGCACCCATGTGTGAGGTCCAGCTCATGGCAAACTCAGTGATTCTGTAGCCCCTGTTGGAAGTGAAGCCACCATTATGAGCTAAAAGGAAGCTGGCGACCACTGGGAAGTACAGATGTAGACGTGTGGAAACCTGGCCAGCCATGGCAGCTGGGGTAGGAGCATGGGTTTTGGGCCATGCCCAAGTTTGAAGCCAGTCCTGACGGACTTAGTTTTAGTTCTGTGGCCCAATGCAGGTTATTTTACCTCCCTGAACCATAGTGTTCTCATCTACCCAAGGGCAATAGTAAGATTGTGCATGCAGAGCTCAGCCTGGCACTCAGCAAGTGCTTAATCAGGGGGCACTGTTGCAACACTGAGACCAGTTCAAGGTTAGCTCAAGAGTTAAGACATTGAATTGGTTCACAGTCGGCCACACCTGGAGGCTTCCCATGGGCTTGCCCTATCAGGGCTCCTCTGATCGAAGCAGGTGTGATGCTCCCCACAGAACAACTCCAGCCGTTCCGAGCTCCTGCCACGTTCCGCAGGGGACACGCCATTCCTCACATTTTGCCTTTTGCGTATTCTGTTCTCCTGTCATCGAATGCTCTTTTCTTGACTCCTAGATATCTTCCAGGCCTCAGCTCTCATGCCACTGTCTCAGAGAGGCCTTACCCCCTTTCCACTCTACTCTGTGGAGCCCCATGGCTTCTCCTAGGAAAATATGACTCACCGTCATTGGTACTTGTTCAGCATCTTTCATTCTGGCAGCAGGGACAGATGTCTTGTGTCTCTTAGGTCCCCAGAACCTAGCACAGGGCTTGGAATAAAGCAGGTGCTCAAATATTTATTGAGTGATTCAGGCTGGGCTTGTCGGGGGAGCTAGGCCGGGCATGGAGAGGGCACTGATGCATGTGGGGCCGTTGGCCAGGTGATGGGGGAAGAGGTAGAAAAGAGATGAGAGCAGTGATATGTGGTAGAAATCATAATTTTTTTTGACCATTTACTGTATGACTTACAAATCGTCTGTTCACATTTACAAATCGTCTGTTCACATTTTACGTGTGCGATCTCATTTTAGCCTTGCAACATTTCCATGAGTGTTCTCCATTTCATGGATGAGAAAAAAGGACTTGGGAAGGGGAAGTCATTTTCCCATAGTCACCCAACAAAGGATTTGAACCCAGGCAGACTGACTCTTAAGCACTCACAGACTTAGCTCTGTACCAGGTGGCCTCCCTGCTGGGTACGGGGGTCAGTAAAGAGCCCATCCAGCTGACTCGAGGGCTCTGTGAAGAGGTGCCTGTGCCTGTGGTAGCAGGGGGAGATGGAGAGACGGGGTCCCTGAGGCCAGACTGGGGAGGCCTTGAGTGCTGGGGTGAAGTTTGGGCCTCTCATAATAGTAATAGCTGCCAGTTCTTGAGCTGCCTGCCACTTTTTTGAGATTTTTAAACTTTACAACAACCCTGTGGGATATATGTTGTCTTTACCCCAATTGGATGAGGAACTGAGACACAAAGACGTTCTAGTAACTTGCCCGAGGTTACGCAACAGGAAAGTGGTGAAGCTGGAATTCACACCCTGTGTGTCAGGCCCCAGAGTCCACCTGGGCCGTGGCAGCTTAACCACCAGGCCATACTGCCTGTCCCATGGGGTTGAGCCAGTGGGAACTCGAGTGCTGCTCCTGACTCAGGTGTCTGCCCTCCCCTCCCAGCACCCCAAGAGGCAGCAGCAGCAGCACTTCTCATCCCTGGACGACAAGCCTCAGTTCCCAGGGGCCTCGGCGGAGTTCATCGACAAGCTGGAATTCATCCAGCCCAATGTCATCTCTGGGATCCCCATCTACCGCGTCATGGATCGGCAGGGCCAGATCATCAACCCCAGCGAGGATCCCCATGTGAGAGGCCACCTCCTTCACCCCCTGCCTCCCATGCCCAGGCCCCTTGCCCGTGTCCTCTCTGGTCCCAATGGCCTTAAGTCTCTCTCTGCCTCCATATGCAGCTGCCGCAGGAGAAGGTACTCAAGTTCTACAAGAGCATGACGCTGCTCAACACCATGGACCGCATCCTCTATGAGTCCCAGCGGCAGGTGCGTGCGGACAATCTGGGGAGGGGAGCTTGGGATCACCTGAGGTCCCTCTACCTGTGTGTGGGCCAGAAGATAGCTCCCAAGGAGGAAAGAGTGGAATGGAGACCCTTTGTCTCGGGGTCCTTAGAGCTCTTGGGGCACTGGAGAGAGAATGTGGGAAGGGCCCTGCCCAGGGGCAGGAGGACGGACCATATCACTGAAAACCCTTAGTGTGGGCTGAGCTGGGGCTTAGCTGTGAAGGGAGAGGGCAGGTAGGGGTCATGAAGGCCCTTCTTCTTGGGAGCTCACTGTCCTGAGAAGAGGGTGCTCATGTCAAACGCTGTGATCCTCAGTAGACAGATAACCAATCAAAGGAGGAAATATATTGATTCAAGTAACTGCAAGTTCAGAGGGCCCTGTTTTCGTGCAAGCTGTCTGGGGGCTTGAAAGATGTCACCAGATGTCTTTTTCTCTCTGAGTGTCTTTCCTCCTCACCTTTGCCTTGGCTTCCTTCATTCTCAAGCCGCTGTGGTCTCTGGAAGCTCCAGGCTCAGGGAGAGGTGGCCGAGAAAGGGTTCAGGGTACGACTGAAGTCCTCATCTGCCACTTTCTGGCTTTGTGGCCCTGGGAAAGCTGTTTGACCTCTGAGTGCTTCCGTTTTCTGGTCTGCATGGGGTCGCCATGAGGATTGATGGTGACATATGTAATGGCTTTAGGGACAGTGAACCTGGCATTTTGTCAGCCCATGATAAATATTAGCTCTTGCCATGACCCTACCAACCTTGCAGTAATTAAACTGTCTCCTTAGTGGTGAAAAGAAATTGGTCCCTAATATCCCAGCAGAAGCCCCAGGGCTGATACTCGTTGGCCAGGCTTTGATCACAGACCCCTCCCAGAATCATCCCGTGACAGTCCAGGCTGGGGCCATGTGCCGCTTCGCAGGGACTGGGGGGGTGGAGTAGTGGACCGAGAGCAGGGGTGCCGGGGTTTCTGTTAGAAAAGGGGAGAATATTGGGCAGGCGGGTCCTCACATGGGGGTGGGCTTGGAAATTTGCATTTGCAGCCCCCAGGTGACAGGACTGAGCAGATCGTACAGGCAGCCTGCTCCCGGACTCTCTAGCTCACAGGGAATACTCCGCATGGGCTTTCCGAGTCATGGTAATGTCTCCACCCTGCCCAGCAACTTGATTTGACTCCCATGTCCACAGGATCACGCCTGGCCCTTCTGTCTGCCCTGTCTCCTGTTCCTCTGTGGCCTTGGCAGTCCACTTCCCTCTCCGCAGCCTCAGCACAAGGCCAGGCCATCTTCCCCTCCTCACACGTGCCTGGGCTCCCTCCTGCCCCTGCATTGGCTGCACAAACGGGGCTTTGGAATCCCACGGATGTGGATCCAGTCACAGCTATGAATTTGGACAGGAGATTTTTCTGGTCTTTGTCTCAGTTTCTTCAGTATATTAAAAAAATGATAACAAGAGAACCCACCCTACAGGGTCAGGGTAGGAATTCTGTGAGAACCAGCACGTAAGGCCCCTTGCCTGTCAGCCAACACGGGAGGCCCTCAAGGAGATCAACTCATCCATCAAGGTCCATCTTGTTAGCTAGGATTACTTTCACCTACGGTAACAGATCTCCCTGAATCCTCCCCACTGAAAAAATCCTAACAAAAACAAGCAGTATCTTCAACAGATTAATAGTTGGGTTTTTTTTGGTTTTTGTTTTTGTTTTTTTTACCATGCATAAAAGAAATCTGGAAACAGGTGGTTTGGGGTGGGTATGGTGGCACCATGGTGTCATTGGATACCCAGTGTTGGCTTCTAGCCTTGAAGGCCCCTCATGAACCTAATGGCTGCTGGGGCTGCCTCCATCACATCCTCATTCCAGGCAAGAAGTAGAAGGAAGGTGGAAGGTCAGACATGGCATATTCCAGGTATCTCCCACAGCCGATTTTATAGAACTTTCCAGGTAGTCCCAATAATATCTCATATTTCATGGGTCACTCCTAGGTACGAGGGAGAATGACAAATGTAGTGTTTCAGTCTAGGCAGTTGCTACCTGCGGTGGAATGAGATCTGCTTTAGCAAAGAGAAAGAGGGATAGGATACTGGGTGGCAGCCAGTGACCTTGGCTGGGAACCCAGGTACTGTTTGCTCGGGGGGGCCCCCCTAAGGCTATTCCCCTTGCCAGTCCCACAGCCCTGCCAGATGCTCAGCACCCGGCATCCACCCACTCACTAGGCTCTGGGAGGTCAATTAACTTTTAATTGTCTCCCCACTTAGAAGAAAGCATTATTCATCTGGTTCCCCCGCTGTGATAGAGAGCTGGGCCTGTGGAACGCATGCCGACTGTGCAGAGGGCACCCGCAGGTGCCAGTTCGGGGCCCCCTGTTTCACCTGACGTGTAGTCTTGGGGAGCTCATTTCTGTCTCTACGCCAGGCGCTCCCCAGCTCTCCAACCAGACTTCGCCTCTTAGCCCCAGATCTGCTTGGCTTCTCACCCTGATGTCTTACACCAGATTCAGCCTGCCCGAACTTGGCCTCTGCATCTTCTTCCCAGACCCACTCCTCTTCTTCCCTTAGGCCAGTTCTCAGTGAAAGGTGCTGCCAGCTGCCCATTTGCCCAAACCTGAGACCTGCACTTCATTTCTGTCTCCTTCCCCTTTGCTATCACTTTCTCTTTCACTCTGCCCCTAGGTATTTATTTATTTATTAATCCCCCCCCTCCCATCTCTGTCGCTAGGTATTCAGTTAGAAATCCGTTCTGCTCAGTGGCACCAATGTGGTTGAGTTGGTTTCCTTCATGTGCTTGTTGCCTCCTATTTAAAGATGGCTGCCACAGGCCCAGGCGTCCCAGCTGTGTGCCAGGCAGGAAGAAAGGCGGAGAGGGCTGGCACCGGCTGCAGGGGGTTTTTATTCCCTTAAGTCAGAAAGCAAAATCTTTGCTTCTCAGCCTTTTGGCTCAGATCAAGTATAGTATCTGTGCTTATAGTATAATATCTGATGCATCCTCTTTCCGAGGACATTCTATTAAATGGATTTTTGGAGCTGGGAGATGGAACAGGAGCTTGCTCCGTCCTTTCCATGCATCCACCAAGTACTGTAGTACTTCTGGGAATGGTGCATTAACAAGAAAAAAAATAGCAAAATCAGACTTCCATTTAAGTCTCTGGCTAGACCTGTGTCCTACAAGGGAGGCTGGGAACCTAACATTTGGTTTTCCCAGGCTATGGGTTTGGGCACTGGTATAGCCAGCCAGGAAAGTATGCCACTCTCTGGTACTGCTGACTGCTACTGCTTTTTAAAAAAAAATTAATTTTTTGCCCCGGCTGGTGTGGCTCAGTGGATTGAGCTCTGGCCTGCGAATCAAAGGGTCATTGGTTCGATTCCCAGTTGGGGCATAAGCCTGGGTTGTGGGCCAAGTCCTCAGTGGGCGGCATGTGAGGGGCAACCACACACTGATGTTTCTCTCCCTCTCTTTCTCCCTCCCTTCCCCTCTCCAAAAAAGTAAATTAAATAAAATATTTAAAAATTTAATTTTTAAAAAATTTTATTTTTCAATTATAGTTGACATTCCGTGTTATTTTACATTAGTTTCAGGTGTATAGCATAGTGGTTAGACAAATACATAATTTGCAAAGTGATGGCCCCAATAATTCAAGTACCCACCTGGCACCGTACATAGATGCTAAGATACTGACTCTGTTCCCTGTGCTGTAGTCTCTGTCCCCATGACTGTTTTATAACTACCGATTTGTACTTTTATTTTATTTTTTTAGTTATTGATATTTAGAGAGAGAAGAGGAAAGAGACTGATTTGTTGTTCCACGTATTGACACATTCATTGGTTGCTCCTTCTTTGTGCTTGACAGGGAATTGAACCTACAACCTTGGCGTATTGGGATGACACTCTAACCAACTGAGCCACACCGGTCAGGGCTGTACCACATCTTCTTTTTCCACTCATCTATTGATGGGTACTTGGGTTGCTTCCGTATCTTGGCTATTGTAAATAAAAAATAGGGAATGCTTCGTGAATTTGCATGTCATCTTTGTGTAGAGGCCATGTTAATCTTCTTTGTATCATTCCGGTTTTAGTACATGTACTGCCAAAGTGAGCACGCTGTTTTTTAAGGCTGTCAACCATCCACTCCTCTCCCTGCCTGTCGGCACTACCAGGCCAGGCCACCATCCTTCTTGTGTGGCTTGCTGTACTCAAGTCTTGTTTCTTATATCCCTTTCCCACATAGCAGCCTGAGAGACATTTCAAAAACATCACTCTCCAAAGAGAGTTGTGGGCAGGTTACCACTGTTCTCCAGGTAAAGTTCAGATGTCTCATTCCCTGCAGTACATGGGCTCTGCCTTTCTCCTGCCTTCTCCTTCACCCCTCCCACTTCATGTCCCATCCCTTCCAGCCTCTTGGCCTTTATCATTCTCTCTGTCTGGAAACCTCCATCCACCCCTACCTTCACTCAGCTTAGCCATTGCTCCCTGGTGCCCCTCCATGTTGGGCAGCACGTCCTTGCAGCTCTGGTGACACAGCCCCCTCGCCCTGACTCTCACCAGTCTGGCAGGTCCTCCATGAAGTCAGAAACTCCAGCGTGGCCTGGCCCAGAGCAGCCTTCAGGAACTCTCTGCTGCTCGGTGGAGCCGTCAGAAATTGGTCGCTATTTGTGTGGTTTTTACTGGTTGCTCAGCATAATCGAGCCTGGGCTTCTGGGCTCCCCTCTACCCACAGGGCCGGATCTCCTTCTACATGACTAACTATGGTGAGGAGGGGACTCACGTGGGGAGTGCGGCCGCCCTGGACAACACGGACCTGGTGTTTGGCCAGTACCGGGAGGCAGGTACGTGTGCGCAGGTACTGGCCCTGTGGAGCACATGCCAGAGGCCTGGGTTTGCGGTCCCCATCGAGGTGGGAGTCCCTCCTGGTATGCAGGTTAGGCCCACATTAGTTACCCTGCGTGCTCTTTGAAGAGTGACATCATGGCAGCGAGCTCCCAGGAGCTGGATGAAGGACTTTGCAAGTAAGAAAGAGCCAAGCCAGGTACAGGAGTTCGGAGGGCATGGGCTTCCCCTCTGTGGAGGGTGGGCACTGTTGTTAAGAGCCTTTTCTCCTAACCAGTCCATGGCTACCAGCTGTCAGATTTGGGGCAAATCACTCCCTGTCTCTGAATGTCAGTTTTCTCCAGAATCAAGATGATGATGATGGTATTGTAATCTCTGTGCTGTGAGGTTGCTGGGGTTGTGCCGTGAGGGCAGGCCTAGCTGCAGGTGTGGCAGGTACTGTGGGCCCCCATCCGCACAGCGGGAGCTCTGCTGGCCTCTCTCCAGGCGCCGTAGCCTTCAGGGAGCAGAAGCAAATGGAAGAGTGTGACAGGTTCCAGTCACGGAGCTGGCTCACTTCTTAAGTGCAGAGAAGGAAGGATCAAAGACTAGGACTGAAGAAAATCAATGTGTGTAAAAGAATGACTAGGGTGAAGAAGACAGCCCAGAGAGGTGAGGGGGTGGTTCCAGACTGGTTGCTGGTATGGGGGCCTTGCAAAGGAGCCTCCCTGTGCGGGGGCCAGGGAGGCAAATCTTGAGTCTTCCTCTTAGGTACTTCAAGACCGTGGGCAAGTTGCTTAACTGCTCCTCAGTTGCTTAACATGGCTCTCGAGGGGTTTCATGGCCTAGGTGATGCAAAGCCGTTAGTGCAGGATCTGGTGAGGGGTAAGCACTCAGTGTCAGAGGTGATGTGACTGGGCCTATCGTCCTGGGACAGCTCTTTAGGAGGGAGGCTGGCTGGGCAGAGCCCTCCCTGGACCAGTATGCTGTTCTGGTCTACTCTTGGACTGTCTACTCCCTTCTGTGCTGCACCAGACCCTCCACCCCACACGCTCTAGGAGGACAGATGCCCTCTGATCGTCTGTGGTTCAGCATCAATAGCAAAAAAGGTTTCCCCAGACACTGGGACACACGTCAGGCCCTGCCAGGTTTGCTGAGTGCCTCCTGCCTGTTTTGCCGAAGGGGTCTCTGGCGAGGGCTCCAGGCAGGGCCAGGTGAGGGCCCTGGAATCCTGATGGCACCTGGGCAGTCCACACAGGGCCGTTTGGACCCTAGCTGCCCTATAAGAGGAGCCCTCCGGCACCGCAGGCCAGCACACAGCTCTGCATCTGGGTAGCCGCTGAGGGCACTTGTGCCGGGTGAGGTGAGGTAGATCCTGTGCCCCATCCTCGACTCTCTCTCTCCCCGCTGTGGAATGGGGAGAACAGGGGACTCAACAAGCGGGTCGTGCCTGGGTTGTGCTGCCTCCAGGAACCTCCTGCCAGCCAGGTAAGAGCCTAGTGGTGCGCTTCTCTTTGATGGTGGTAGGTGGGCATCCACCAGAGATTTTGTTTGAAGAAGGTTTTAATGCCATAAATAGGTTTGAACATTTTTCTCCTTAGTCCAGAAGTTGTGAGTCCCTACTTTTATTAGGTTCATATGATGATTTTTGAAAGTAATTGAATTAGCTGTAACACTTATAATTTAGGTAGTTTTTCTCTCTTTCTCTCTCTCTCTCTCTTTTTTTTTTTTTAAGCAAGCAAGGTTTTTTCTTTTGAAAAACTGGATGATTTAGCCTCCCTGGATAGCCATCAGTGGTCTCGACAGTGGCCTCCCTCTTGAGACAGTCCTGTGCTTGCTGGTCTGCCCACCTGGTTCCTGCACCTGCTGGTCCCCTAAGCATCCCAATATGCTTCTCTTGGTCTCATCCAGCTCCCTTACTGTACAAAGAGGGAATTGGGAGCCCAGCCAGGAAGGGCCTTGTCCTGGGACGCCCATGGAGTTGGTCTGCACCTCTGGACCCTCCTCCCCTAATACCTGCTGCTTCCTCCCCTCACAGGCGTATTGATGTATCGGGACTACCCCCTGGAACAGTTCATGGCCCAGTGCTATGGCAACGTGAATGACCCGGGCAAGGGGCGCCAGATGCCCGTTCACTATGGCTGCAAGGAGCGTCACTTTGTCACCATTTCCTCTCCACTGGCCACACAGATTCCTCAGGGTGAGGACGCATGTCTTGGGCCCGGACCACATAGACCAGTGCCGTACTCCTGAGGAGGGCCCAGCCCTTCTCCGTCCCAGGGAACTTCTTGGTTGGTGACATGGTCAGAGTCAGAGCCCTGGTCTGGCCTCCAGTCTTTCAAGACCCCTCTTGTCTGGGACCCGTCAGGGGAGGGCTGTGGTGGTGTCCTCACCCATTTGGCAGGCTTGAGCCAGCAGGATCACATTCTTGGTTTCCGAAACTTGTGCCCACCCCTTTTGTCTGCACACAAACATAGCCTACTGCATGTGATGGAGCATGTGCCTGGTTCCTTGCTAACGGTCACCTGGCCGGTGGTGAGAAAAGCAGGTCTCAAATCATGGACTATGGCTACAGAGCCTGGGTTCTTGCTCCCAACCCTGCTTTGCTTCAGTCCTGGAGTCCAGCTCCCCTACAGCTTACTCTGGAGGCCCACAGTGCTTAGAGCAGTTGGTGTGGCTTCTGTCAAAGGTGACTGCTTGGGAAGCAGAGCGTGGGGGCCGTGGAAATGGACCGCTCTCCCTACCCTCTGGGGCCTGCCCTTGGTCAAGGGTCAGTCTGGGCTTCAGCTTTTTCTGCCTGGGGCAACTCCAGGTACATGAGTTGCTGTGTCTGCTGGGGTAGCAGAGTGCCTGGTACATCGCAAGGCCCCATGCACATTTGCTCATATCATTCTGTTTGGAAAAAAAGGAGTGAGTGGTTCATGTCTCTGAGGTGGGAGGTGGGCAGGGCAGCCTTCTAGGTGGAGGTGGCATTTTTGCTGAAGGTAGGTCAGATTTCCATAAGGTGGGGCCCTGGCCCTCACCTTCCTTTTGGGTGATCATTCATTCACTCAGTTCCAAATATACGGAGTCCCTGCTATGTGGGCACCATTTCCAGGTACAGTGAACAAGAGACAAAGCCCTCAGCCCTCCTTGTGCTGACATGGATTAGGGGAGAGAGACAGTAAATGAGATGAAGACGTGACCCGTGGATCACGTCAGAGGTTGATAAGTCCTGTAGGGAGATACGAGGCTGGGAGGGAGTGAGGTGTGATGGCGAAGGTGGGGCCACAGGTCAGTGCAGACCAGGAAGAGGGGCGGGGGAGCCGGCAGGAATCTTGAGGTGGGGGCTGCCTGCTGTGTTTGCGGTGCTTGAGCTGCAGGGAGGAGCCCAGTGGGGCCGCTGTGGATGGGGGTGGAGGGTATCGGTCAGAGAGCTGTGGGAGGGTGCAGATCTTCGGGGCTCGGGGCCTTTGGCTTTAACCCAGAGGGAATGGGTATTGCGGGGGCCGTGGGGGAGGGGGAGTGGTCAGCTGTGCAATGACTTGGCCTGGCTCATCATTGAACAGTCCTCTGGCTGCCCCAAGAGTAACGGGGGGGCCTAGCTTGGCCAGTGAGGTGAAGGAGATGGGGAGAAGGGGTCAGATTCTGCCTCTGTTTAGAAGGTGGCATAGGTGCGGGCATGACAGAGTTTGGAGTCAAAGATGGTGCTGGCGTTTCGGGCCTGAGGGGTTGGAAGGATGGAGCTGCAGTCAGCTGAGGGGAGAAGACGGGCTGGGGCAGGTTATGGAGGGGCTCTTGGGATATCAGGTGTTTTCTGTCCCCTCAGCCTGGTGACAGCCAGCCTGAATCCCGGAGCCTGGGGCTGGGGGTGAGGGGGGTGTGTGTCTGTGTCTGTGTCTTGTGAGAGGGAGAGAGGTGAGCACGCGTGGGGCTCTGCTCCTGCTCACCACACTCTCACTGTCCGCAGCGGTGGGGGCGGCCTACGCAGCCAAGCGGGCCAATGCCAACAGGATCGTCATCTGTTACTTCGGTGAGGGGGCAGCCAGTGAGGGGGATGCCCACGCTGGCTTCAACTTCGCTGCTACCCTTGAGTGCCCCATCATCTTCTTCTGCCGGAACAATGGCTATGCCGTCTCCACACCCACCTCCGAGCAGTACCGCGGGGATGGCATCGGTATGGGCCAGTATCGTCTCTTCCTCTCCCTTCCTGCCACCCGGCCCTCCTGGTCTCTTCCTGCAGCGTCTTGGCACCAGGGAGGTTGCAGGAGACAGCGGATGGAGCACTGCTCTGTTTGCTCTCCTCTCCCCTCCCTTTCTTCCCTCTCCCATTCTCTGCTCATTGTCCTTGTCTGAGCCATGGAGTCTGAGCTGCCTTTCTCTGTCCCCACAGCGGCTCGAGGCCCCGGGTACGGCATCATGTCGATCCGTGTGGATGGCAATGACGTGTTTGCTGTGTACAATGCCACCAAGGAGGCCCGGCGACGGGCTGTGGCAGAGAATCAGCCCTTCCTCATTGAGGCCATGACCTATAGGTGCCTGCCCCTCCCCCTCCCACCAGCCTTGACAGCCACCATCTTCACCATCTTCCCTACATTCATCACTGGGATCCCTAAAGCCTGACCCCATCACTCCATGTTACAATACCCTTCCTTGTCCATGGCCCTCCCCCTGGGCAGGATCGGGCACCACAGCACCAGTGATGACAGCTCAGCGTACCGTTCAGTGGACGAGGTCAATTACTGGGACAAGCAGGACCACCCAATCTCCCGTCTGAGGCACTACATGCAGAGCCGCGGCTGGTGGGACGATGAGCAGGAGAAGGCCTGGAGGAAGCAGTCACGCAAGAAGGTGAGGGCCTCCTCCTGTTGGAGACCAACATCCCAGGGGCATGTCCTGAGGTGGAACATCATGGGGAACCCTGGAAGGGTGGGGGCTGGGATTTGGGGGGACATTGAACTGGGACACTCAGGGCATGCCCCAGTGATGTCTCAGAGTTTGGCCTGTGGAGCCAGGCTGCCTGGGCACATGCACCTCGGCCGTGTCCTAGCTGTGTCCTTGGCATGAAGGATCCTGGGGTACCCGCTTCAGAAGGTTGGGGATGAGGTGACTTAATCCACATGTGGTCTGAGTGTCCTGCCCATAGCCAGTCTGTTGTCCTCCCTGTCCCAGGTTGTCAGCAGCCAGAGGCCATGCAGACCAGTGGTGAGGGCAGAGCCGGGCCTCAGGCAGCACTGTGCATCCGGCTTTGCCCCCAGCCACGGTCATGGGCAGAGCCCTTCTCTGTGCCTTGGTTTCCTTGTCTCTAAGCTGCCCGTTCCTTAGGGCTGCTGAGTCTGAAACCATTCCACAGCCTTAGTCATAGTGAAGGATGGAGATGCTGGGATCAGGGGGCGTTGATGGGGATGTTATTGTCACCACTGCGATGGTGATTGTCTCTGTTGTCCGGATGGGAACCCACGGGCTCAAGGGGATTAATGCCTCACTGAGGTCCCACAGGGAGGAAGGAGGAAGGGTCCTGGGTGGGAGGCCGGCTGCTTGCCCACAGTTCCTTGTCTCCCAGGTGATGGAGGCCTTTGAGGAGGCCGAGCGGAAGCTGAAACCCAATCCCAGCCTGCTCTTCTCTGATGTGTATCAGGAGATGCCTGCCCAGCTCCGCAAGCAGCAAGAGTCCCTGGCCCGTCACCTCCAGACCTATGGCGAGCATTACCCCCTGGACCACTTTGAGAAGTGATCAGTGCTTGCCCCACCCTAACCCACCCCACCCCACCCATCTCAGGAACCCTGAGAGGCAGCCCCAGACTGAGGGTTGGAGAGAGCTGGCTGCCAGCTCCCTTCAAGATACTCAGGGCAGAGCTGAGATGATAAGGGGCGGGGCTTCCGCTCACCCTCTTCCTCTAGGCTATTATATTTTGGGGGGTCCCGTCAGCCCCCTTTTTGTGGTTATAGTGCTTTTTCCCAGGGGCCAGCCAAGAGTGCCTCCAGGACTGGAAGCCCCTCTGGGCTGGGGGCAGGCACGGCAGGTCAGCCTGTGGGACTTAAAGTGAGAGGTAGGCAGCAGGCATTGAATAAACTGTCTCTGCATTTGGCGCTCTGCTACATTTGGTCTGTTTCCTGGAGTTTTGGAGGTAGGAGGAGAGTCCTGCCTGAGTGGTTTGCAACTCCGCCCCTTCAGTTAGATGGGTAAGACCAGGAGCGTTGAGATAGCTACTTCCCCTAGAAACTTGCGCAAACTGGAGGGCCAGCTTCAGCAGGCATGTTGGGGGTGGAGATGTTCCAGAGATGGACTCCTCCTCTCCCATGGAATGAGGCAAACCTGGTGTCCAGCAAGGCAGCCCGGAAGCTGTTGGAGCTGGCCCTGTCTATGAGAATGGGGAGGGTGTCGTATAAATGGCAGGGTGTGCAGGGTATAGTTGGCTGAACTCTGTTCTTGTAAACTTCTCTGGGGCCCCCCAGGCGCAAAGACAATTCCAGGCCTCAGGATGGAGAGTGCATATTGTTCAAAAACAAAAGGTAAACAAAAACAGTCTTGTGCTTCCTGTTGTCCAGTCCCATAGCCTGGGCTGGCCCAGGAGGGGCTCAAGTGGCCGTGTTTCCAAGACCTCCTCCCTCACTAAGGCCTAGGAGCAGCTGAGCAAAGGGCAGGCACGAAGGCCCTGCCCAGGGCCCAGGCCAGGTTGGCCTTCCCCTTCTGACCCCACTGAGGCTCAGCAATGGAGCTGAGGGTCCTGCAGGTGTTTCCAGAGCCAAACGCTGTCCTGAGGTGTGAGGGGTCGCACCAGCAGCAGGTCGCGGAAAGCACAGGGGTCAGCCGGGCGGTCTGCTGGCCAGGCTGTGAGGAAGCCTTTGTGGGCCCTGGGCACCAGGCCCAGAGCACGGAAGCACAGGCCAATGTAGACGTCGTTGAAGGGGAACGGTGCCACACGGGCCGCCGCCTGCAGTAGCCAGGGTGCCAGGCGCCCAGCGATGATGTAGCCACCCCCGCTGGCATAAGCCGGGTAGTCACCTTCAAAGAAGGATCCAGGCACATAGAAGGGCCCTCCAGGCTTCCGGAGGGGCTTGGCCTGGGTAAAGACCTCACCCAGGTAGAGGCCTCGGGCCCAGCTGGCTGGCAGGGCCCGCAGGTAGTCGAGAAGGGCAGGAGTGTGCACAAAGGCATCATCCTGAGCTTGTAGGACAAAGCTCACTCTGGGGCAGTGGTGGATGAGCCAGGAGAGCAGCAGCAGGTCCTTGAGTGTCTCATTGAAGGGAACATCCAAGAAGTCCCAGAGCAGCAGGTCCCTATAACGCCGGCTCTCCCAGGCCACCAGAGGGCCAAGGTCAGGGCCTCCCTCACCCACTGGGGACCCCAGAAGGAAGAGCAGCCGAATTCCAGGAGCGGGACCACCCCAGGTCTCCCTCACAGCCTGTCGTTCAGCGAAGCGCCCTGGTTCCGACTTGATAGCCAGTAGCAGGTAGGGGATGTCGGTTTCCCCACAGCTGGGCACTTGGCCACTGTCACCTTCAGGCAGCCACCGAGGGAAGTTCCGGCAAGCTGCTGACAGCAGGAAGCGGCGGAGGTCCTCGGGGTAGGAGGTGAAATCGGGTACTTCGGCAGCGGCGGCAGCTCCCCAGGCCCAGCAGCCCCCCGCCTCAGTGCTGTCCCCACTGGGCAGGGCCCCCAGCCTCCACTGTTGCTGGTTCCAGTAAGCTGAGGACAGTGGGCTAGTCTGGCCCAGACGGGCTGAAAGGTTCGCCGGCAGGGTGGGCTCGGGACTGGCGGGCGGGAGGACTGGCAGGGTGCCCTGGGGTCCCAGGTAGGCCTTGCTCAGCCGAGACTCTGATGTCCACTCGATGTACACTTTGAGGCCCAGGAGCGTGAGCAGTGCTGACAGGCAGAGAAGGCACTTGGGACAGCGCATGACCCGGCCCAGGGAAGGAGCGGCCACGGGGGCTGCAGGGGAGGCAGACAGCCCTTTGAGTGCAGGGTGGGCCTTCACAGTCCCCACCAATCCCTGTGATGGCCTCTTAGTCCCAGACCCTAAACCAGCCCCCAACCAAGACCCTTTTCTCTTCCCCTATTCCTGGACCCGGAATCCCGGCTCCAGTCCCATTCCAACATCTGCTTTTTTCACTCAGCCCAACTCCTTCCACCTGCCTGTTCCCCACTCCCCCATTCATCCGCCTCACCAGAAATCAGGATCTCTGGGGTCAGCTCCTTTGTATCACAGAAATCCAAGCTCCCTGTACCCAGCTGTCCCCACCCTGAGGACTGGGGAGCCAGGGTATGCACCCTTCTTTTTACCTCTGGGTCTGGCTCTGGCGCCCCAGGCGTCTGGTCAGGCCCTCCCAGCTCCCTCCCTTGTGCTCTGGTCCGGCAGCTGTGGCTGTGTCGTTCTTCAGCGCAGCCCAGCCCGTCAAGAGGGGCGGGGCGGGGCGGGGCGGGGCTGGGCGGGGAGCAAGGAAGGCCTCCGGGGCCCGGGCGGTGCCGAGGAAGGGGGAGGAGTGGGGGAGAGCAGGAGACCAACTTGAGAGATGGGGCTCTGGCGTGTTTGGGCTGGTTTTCTGGTGAGCCAGGGAAGGGTGCAGGATTGGCTGCAGAGACGGGGCACTGGGCGAGGCCTGGCAGGGGAGAACCAGGGGCTTGCGGAGAGTCCCAGGGAGGGTGAGAGCGAGAGCCAGGCCTGAGCTGGGGCTGGGTAGTGGTGGAATGGCCCAGGGACAGGCACAGTACAGTCCCAGTGGCAAAGCGAGAGGCGAAGGGCTGGTGCTCGGTCACAGGAGGCGGTGGAGAATGTGCTGAGAGGGAATGGGTCAGCCTGCCAGAGATGGTGGGGGCGGGAGAGTGTCGCTGCCCAGAGTCAGGGTGGGTAGAGGAGGTGGGTAGAGGTGAGGAGGGGAAGAGACAGGGAGACCCTCAGGGGCAGGCGGAAAGGAAAGACGAGATGGACTTGGGGGTGCAGAGGAGAGCACTGCAGGGAGAGAGTGGGGACAAGGGGAGAGAAATGGAGACAGTGAGCCAGAGATAAGGGGGGGACTGGAAGCCCCTGTGGGGGAAAATGGAGGGGAAGATTTAGAGTAGGGACTCCAATGGGGTCAGAAGAGGGAGCCAGCGAACAGAGCCAGATCCGGGGAGAGGAGGGGAAAGGAGCCAGGGAGGAGCAGGAGAGAACCAGATGGAGGGAGAAGGGGCAGGCACAGAGGGAGCCTTGGAGCGAGCGTCTCTGCACATCCATCCCCTGTGGCGCCTGCTGCCTGACCAGCAGGGCGTAACCCATTCCTAGGCCGCAACCCAGCCCACACTGCACAGGGACTCTTGAACATTCACATCCAGCCCCCCAGGGACAGGAGAGGGTGTCTACCTGTGTTTACATCGATGCTCTCCCAGGGCTTCTGCTGTCTGGGGAGGCAGGCAGGTGGGGCCTCCTCATCCCAGACCTCCTGGAAGGGGGTCAGGCACTAAGCCTGGCCTGACCTCTTTCACCTGACCTGAGGCTGGGGAGGACTGTGTTACAGATTGTCCGTCCGTTAACAGCAGCAGTTGATTATCTGTCCATTGCTGACTTTCTCCTCCTAAGTTTGAATAATGGAGCCCATGGGACCAGTTGGAGGAAGACAATGTGGAGGAAGTAGGGAATGATAATGGACTAAAAGCTAGGGTGGGAAATGACAGCCAGGGGCTGGGGCCAAGGGCCTAAGCACCCATGGTGGGGGTCCAAGCCCACCTCCTTTGGGGCTGGGAGCGAGGGGTCTAGGCCCTCTGAGCTCTTTTGGCTCAGCTAGCTACTCCCAGGGCATGCAGGTTCTCTATAGGGGGCAATACCCCTCCTGGGAGTGTTTGGGAATCTCAGAGGGCACAATTTTGGTTGCTCTGTGCATTAGTCTGGGTCCAATCAGGAGGCAAAGCATACAGCAATGGGAACAGGGAAAGGTGAATATCAAGAATGACTTGAAGTGCCTTCTTGTGGAAGAGTTGGGGCTGGGGGAGACATGCAGAGCATGGTCAACCAGCCCAACATCCCCACTAAGCCTGTGGACGCCTTCTGGCTTCTGGCCTCATTAACTGTAGGCCACTGTTGAGTCCAAGGCACCCAACTGAGGAAGCTGTTAGAACCACACCCAGCTACACAAGCTAACTCATTAAATCCAGAATGTCTAAGTACCCTGGACCAGTGAACCTGGCCCCCGTTTACACCCACCCTCACTGGTGTCACACCCTTAAAACCCACCCATTTCCCCGGGTTTCTGGCTGTACATGTATTTGAAAGTCTTGCAATCCTTCTAGTGTACGAGCTCTTGCCTCCTGGGTCATAATGACCGTACTTCCCCCGCATTCTTTCTCCAACTGGTCGCATGGGCTCCTTTATTCAAACTTGGGAGAAAATCAGCACTGGACAGATAATCCTAGCGGGGGCATGCTGAGGTTTGACCCCAGGTATGTACGGGGTCACTGGTACAGGGTACTGATATTCTTTCACTTTAGGAAGCTGGGAATTCCACCATCATTGACCTGCAAACTTCAATGCTGTATTGTATTTTCAGTACTATCTGCCCTGCGGCAGAACTTTTGGGGGCTGTTACAGAAGTGCTCCAGTCCTGATTGTGACTTAGTGTGCGGTGACAGACCTGAGCTTGTCCTTGTCTATCTGTAAGCACTCAAGGGCACTGCAAAGAATCTGCCCAACACCTATCTTTAGAATGGTCATTACTGCCACAACAGTCAAGTGCTGCTGCCAGAGGGGCTCCTGGGCATGTGCTTCAGCTGGCGCTTCCTCACAGCAAACCCCGTGACGGCCTGATGTGAGGCCACGGCATGCTATGGACTTTCGGCACCTGACCCCTAAACCCCATCTCTGTGAGGCTATCTCCCGGAACACTCTGAATACCAATGCTGTATCAGGATCCAATCAGGAGAGGGGAAAAAAAAGAAACCACAGTAATTTGAATAGGGAAAGTTTAATATAAAGAATTATTGATTTCAACAGCGAATTGAAGTGGTGAAGGATTCATTGGTAAGGTGCCTTGGAATTTACTGGAAATGTTGGGCTGTGGTGGAGAGTCATGCACAGGGAGGTGCCTCCGTGGAGGGCCCCCTCGGGGAAACTGTGAGGTGGGGCAGGAAGCCCGGGGAGGCTGCTGACCACCTGGCACTGGAGAAGCTACATGTGCTGCAGGAGCCACGGAGCAAGCACACGTGAACAGGAACTCCTGCAATGTCTCTCAAGCGCCTCCTACTGACAAAGCTTATGCAAGTTAGTGAAGGGAAAACATTTCAAAGGCCCAAATCAGTTTTCACAATGTAGACAAAAATGCTGAGCTTGAACCTGAATTCAGTAAACAGGAACACCACAGGCCTTGGAGCGCTACTGCCTAGTGAGTATGGGCCATGGATGCTGCACCCTGCAGTGAGCTGGCTCGTCCCACACAGAACCGCCATCCTCATGGAATGCAGGAAACAGCAGCACACCTAAGTAAGGATAATCTGAGAGCAGCCTCTTGGCACAGTAGTGGGCAATGTGGGGAGGCCACCAGGGGAACGAAGCTTCTTGTGGCTACTTGCATTCGGGAGTCCTTACCTGCCCCAGGCCTGGGGAGGCAGGAGGAGGTTATTCTGGAACTAGGAGAGGTGTGTGGGAAGGGCTGCCTGACAGGATGAAAGGAGCTGTGACCTTCAGCCAGGCACCTATGAGGTGGGGACCACATGCTGTCCTTCCCGACCTGCCAGCGCCACACCCCTCATGCCCCCCAACCCTTATGATGAGTAAGCCCAACTGGAAGCCTCAGAGAGAGAACTGTAAGATACTCAACACAGCCCCGCTGAGATCCAGCTCGATGGGGTGGGGGTCAGAGCCTAGGCAGGGATGGGGCTGGCTGTGTCCTGAGGCTGCTTCTCTGGCCTCGACTTCAGGCCGTGAGCCCACTCAGCCCCTAGAACCTCGCAGTTGGGCAGCATCTCCTCCACCAAGATCCGAGTGAGGCCCGCGTTGGACACAGCAGGGAGGTCTGAGATGTCCAGCCTACGGAGGTTCCTGAGAGGAAGTAAGAAAGGGGGAGGCCGCATGAGAACAGCATCTCTATGAGAGTATATGGAGGGGTGCACCAGTCCCCACTCAGTCCCTAGCTTCTTGAAGTAAAAATTTTTAACTGCCCAGAAAATGTTAGAGCTGTCCCAGTCTATGAAATTCACCTTGCTAACTGCAAACAGGCACCTCTGGGTCCTATGATTCTGCAAAAATGTAAATATCATGGAGTTTTCACTAAGGCCAAAAGGAAGAAAAACTAGTAGGAGTCCTTTAATTTCCCCAGAGACTCACTGCCACTGCTCATCTGTGCTTACCCTCCACAAACACTCTAGGTTTGTCATGGAGGCAGGGAGACGGGGAACTGCCTGACACAGCCCCCTCCCCGCTTTCCCGTTTGTGAGCTGGGTGGGAGCCCCTGCCCTAGCTTGGGGGCGCCCAGGCTGAGCTGAGATCTCACCGGAGGTGGTGGAGGCAGGCGAGTCCCCGTTCGGAGATTCGGGGGCAACCTGCCAGCGAGAGCTCTTGCAATGAGTCGGCCAGCTGGTAGAGACGGCTGAGACACCAGTCATCCACATGGGGACAGCGCTGCAGCGACAGGAACTGCAGCTCCTTTAGGGCCACTGTAGGGGCGAGAGCGCAGATGGCATTGAGGCCTTTCTGAACCCACCACGAAAGGGAAAATGCAGAGCCTTGCCCAGCTCTACCCCATCCACTCTACTCACAGAGGTTACCCAGGCCCTCATAATTGATGGCACAGTCACTGGCATCCACAGACTCCACAGGTACAGCCTGGAAATTCACCAACTCCAAAAAAGAGGGGCGACGCCCATGGGACCGAATCCACTCCTTGCCCTGGAACCTGGAAAGCAGGGAGAGAAGGGGTGCCAGTGGGTTCCCTGCCTGTCCCCAAGCCTGCAGCCTCTCGAGAGCACGCCCCAGCCCCGTATAATACAGCAATGGTATTGTGTCTGTGCACTTGTTCTACAGCCCTGTTTGAAGGGATGTAGATGTCTAGTCTCATTAGATGCCCTGATAATCCCAAAGATGGACTGTTTGGCCAATTTCATGCACCTGGAAGCTGAGGGCTACAGACATTACTGATAATGTAAGAGAAAAGAGCTACAATATATGAACCTTTGTAGATGGGCAAAAGTTGAGACATTTTCAGACATGTACACCGCTTCTAAGGAAGGTGCTGGAGGAAGTGCTCAAACCAAGTACAAATTCTAATTAGAACAAAGTGAGAGGTAGGTGAAGTCTACATAAATTGTGCTTTTCAAAAAAGAAGGAAAAGGGGGAAAATCCCCAAAGGTTGGAGGAAGTAAGGGGGCCCTGGCTGGTGTGGCTCAGTGGATTGAGTGCCAGCTTGCAAACCAAGAGATTGCCAGTTCTAGTCCCAGTCAAGGCACATTCCTGGGTTGCAGGCTAGGTCCCCAGTTGGGGGCATGGGAAAAACCACCAAAAGATGTTTCTCTCTCTCTCCTTCTCCCTCCCTTCCCCTCTCCCTAAAAATAAATAAAATTTTAAAAAAAATAAAGAAGGGGGAAGGAGGAGAGAAAAAGAAACTAGTATTTATTGAGCACATGTGCAGTGCCAGATCTTGCTACTAGTGTTTACATTGCAAGATGTGTTTGCAGGTTAGCTACAGCTACCATTTCACTTTACAGATGACAAAACCGAAGCTCGGGACCAAGCCGGAAGCCACACAGCCAGTAGGAGGCAGAGACTGGTGGACTCACAAGGAAGCCTGCCTGACTGAAGAGCCCGAGGCTGAGAGGATGTGTGGCGTCCCCCAACCCCCCGTTTTGACACCTTTGCTGTCATACTTGACTGCGCCTCCCTGCTTCAGGACGAAATAGGCACCTGCGATGTATGGGCCGTATCGCTCCTTGATGTAGGTGAAGGATCTGCCAAGAGAACAGTTACTGAGGGTAAGGCCTGGGGAGCACCACACCCCATGGCATGCTGCGGTCTGCTGAGAGAGTCAGAGTCCACGGCATCAGGACAGACAGACAAACAGATAGACAGACTGAGTCAAGCTGCAAATATTCATTGAGGGCCTATTAAGCTGGGCACTGGGGCAGGGGAAGTGGTGACCAAGGCGGGTAAGTGTCTCTGCCCTTCTGAAGTTATTTTACAGGGAGAAACAAACAAGCCAGGAAGAGCAAATTTCAGACTATCAATTCCAGGATGAAAGTAAAACGCAAGCACTAAAGAGTGGCTTCAGTCAGGGATGCCGTTGGAGGAAGCGGATTTAGTTCAGTTGATAAGAAATGCTTCTTGGAGGAGGTGACACTTCGGGGAAGTGGTGGGTGAGTGATGGGAAGGAAAGCAGAGGTCAAGGCACGAAACTGCCAGGCCAAAGGAACAGCTAGTGCAAGAGTCAGGGGCTTGAGCCCTGGCTGGTGTGGCTCAGTGGACTGAGTGCTGGCCTGTGAACTGAAAGGTTGGTGGTTCAATTCCTAGTCAGGGCACATGCCTGGGTTGTGGGTCATGTCCCCAGCTGGGGGTGTGCGAAAGGCAACCGATGGATGTTTTTCTTGCACATTGATTTCCCTCTCCCTCTCTTCCCCTCTCTCTAAAAATAAAAATCTAAAAAAAAAAAAAAAAAAAAAAAGAGACCCAGAGGCTTGAATTAGGATGAATAAAAAGCAATAAAGATGTCATGGTGCAAGGGTGAGGGGAGTCCCTGGCGGGCCTCTCAAAGCTCAGTAGGTACCAGGTTTTAGGCTTTGGAGTTTAGCTTTTGTTCTAGTTGAAGTTGGAAACCATCTGAGGGTTTCAAACAAGGTGATAATGTTCTCTCTTTTACTTTCTTAAGAGTCCTTTGGCTGCTTTGTAGCCTATTAATAGACTACAGGGGGCAAAAGTGACCAGTACGATTACTGCAGTAATCAAACCATAAAATGAAGGGGCTCAGCCCTGGCTACAAACAATGAAGGAGGTAGGAAGTGGTCGATTTGGGATAGTCTAGTATATTATTGATGGAGTAGATGTAGAAGGCAGAGAAGCAAAGACAGGAATCAGGGATGACTTCTTAGAATTTGGCCTGAACAACTGGGTGGGCAGTGGTGCTGTTTACTGTGATGGGGAAGGCTTGGGGGTGAGCACCCTAAGACTTTTTAGGGTGCAATCAAGGGTTTGCTGTAAACTATGTTAGGTCTGAGGTGCCAGCTAGACCAAGAGGAGCTGGTGGGCAGCAGGTTGCCGAGATGAACTGGAGTTCTTGGGACGGGTATGAGCTAGAGATCAAAATACAAGTTGGCCTGGCTAGTGTTTATTGGAAGCCACAGGGCTACCTGGGAGCGGCAAGGGCAAGATCTACGTGCTGGCCAGTGAGGCCACAGCAGCAGGGTCTTGCAGGCCTGGGGTTCTCACCGATTTTCCCGGTGCACCTTTGACAATCGCTTTTGGAACAAGTACTCTCTCAGAGCCTGCACGTCGTAGAAGCGGTCAGCCAGGAACTGGAGCAGCATTCTCCCCTTCCTCTGATTGCCCTCTGGGGCCAGTGCACTGCTCAGACCACGAGTGCCCTTGGGAAGCCCCTTCCATACCGGGGCCACCAGGTTCAGGGACTGGGGAGGAAGAGAGGACAGGCTGAGCCTCGGGCGCCTCCTGTGAGACAGAGCTTCACCCTTCTGTTCTGTTCTTAGTCCATGAACTTGCCTCCCCCCCCCCGTGCTTCCTGCTTCTCTGAATTCTCCTTTCAGAACTTCCAAATTCTGCGTTTGGGATTCCCAACTTTCCTTCCATGTATTCCTCCAAGCTCTTCCTCTTAATCAACCCTAAACTCTCTCTTTGGTTTATCCAAACTTTCTTGGTTTTCCCAAGTTCTCCTCCTGTCCCCTGCCCCGCCGCCTCAAATCCTTACTTTCTCTCAAAACCTCCATTATCTGACTTCTTAATTTCCCACAAATTCTCCCCTTAATTTTATCCAATTCTCCCTGGAGTCTTCGTGAATAACCTATTTATTTTCCCAAACTATAATCTTGATTTCTTTCCAAACCACCCTTAACTTACCTCATAAAACCCTCACACTCTTCCTTCAATTTCCCCTCAGAGTCTTCTCTTAGTGTGCCCCAGTTTCTTTTCCTTTAACCAAAATTGTTTCCCCCAAATCCTATTTTCCGTAAAAATTCCTCGTAAACTCCCAAACTTTTACTTTCTTACTTTAATTTTCCCTAAATTCATTCCTGCATTTTACCCAATTCTTTCTAAATTCTATGAATACCGCAAATTCTCCCCTTAATGCCCCCCACGTTCTTTCCTTCGAACTACAATATTTACCAGCCGGTGCCCTCGCCCCTCATAATCTCTTTGGTCTTCTATCAAAATTCCCAAGTCTCCCAGGAGTTCCCCTCACCTGCGTCTGTCGGCATCCTCCGCTTCGCCCGACCAACGCCTTCCCCGCCCTCTTTCTCTTTCCCTCGCAGGTCCCACTCTAGCCTGCCAACCCGCCCCCAGAGCGGGCAGTCCAATCCCTCCCTGTGATTGGCGGGGTGCGCGCTCTTCGGGCGCACTCCCTGCTTCCGCATTGGTTTCTTTCCGCTAAATGCCCGCCTCCTCTTCGTCTCTGAAGCTCCTCAGCAGCCTGCGACCCTCACCCGTCCTTCCCGGCCCCCAACAGCTACATTTCTTCACTGCCAGCACGAGGCCCAGCGGGAGGCGCCTCCAGCTGCCCCGCTCCTAATCCCTGGGCGCCGACAGAGGCCCTGAAGGCAGAGGCAGCAGGGCGGGCTTCAACTTGGAAGCTCAAGGAACTCCGGTCACCTACCGCCCTGGGCGCCGCCATCTTGTTGGGATTACAGAACCGGAAGGGGCCTGTCTTTCCTGATCCCGCCCACCTGGCTCTGTCTTCGATGTATTTTTTATAGTCACTCCTTCTTAAAGGCGCACTCGTTTTACCGTTGCAGGATTTAGGGATTTCTCATGAGTGCCGTGTCTGTAGGCCTTATAGTGGGACTCTAGCCTTCCCCTAGGCGAGGGTGAGCAGTCGTTCCTGTTTGAATACTTTCCTTCCCTCTGACTGCAGTCACAGTTCCCCTGAGCGACCCTGGTCCCCAGCTCTTACCAGTTACCTCCTTACAAAAGTGAATGATGTGCCTAAAAGCTGACTGGCATTCTTTCTCCCTGGAAAAGAAAAAGGTAGAGTGGGTGGCGAGGTTAGCCTTCAGGGTAAGAGATGGAGGTAAATTCTCAAGATTAGTACTCTGATGTGTTTGTGATTTCAGTCTGAAGTTAAAGGCTAGATCTTAGAGTGAAGATTCAATGTGAGGTCTTGCGGATAGAATCATTTATTCATTCCACAAATAATTTACTGACATGTACCACAGGGCAGGCACTGCTCTGGGTGCCGAGGTTAGCATGGTGAACAGGACAGACCCAGCCCTTCTCTCAGGGAGTCAATATTCCAGGCAAGGAGAGGGTGGATAAGAAACAAATGAATAAGCAAGATAATGTCACATAGCATTTGATAACACAGATAAAACCCGGTAACATAATAGGGGGTGACTGCGCTATAGGGCCATTGGGAAAAGCCTCTCTGAGGAGATGACATTTATGTGGAGGAAACTCAAAGATCGGGAGGAAAGTGTTCCGGGCAGAGGTTACAGCCAGTGCCAGGACCCAGAGGTGGGAGCCACCCTGCAGAGAGAGAGAGAAGCCAGAGAGGTGGGCAGGGAGCAGGCTGTGCAGGCCTGGCAGGAGCTTATTGCCTCCACAACACAGTCGTGTGGTTTAGATTTTGTGAAGATCATTTCTGTCCAGCTGAAAACAGATCTTAGAGGGCAAGGGGGGAAACGGGGGCAACAAAGAGGCTGCTGTAATCATCCAGACCAGCGGAGAACGGGGACCGGAGCAGGGATGGGGCAATGGAAACGGTAAGAAGTGCTCAGGTTATGAGTTTGTTTGGAAGGTCAAGCCAACAGCTGGAGAAACTAAAAAGATAGTGATTCCACTCATGAAAATGGGGAAACTGGGGGAGCAGCAAGTGTTCGGAAGGACAGATGTGGTAGGCTGAAAATGACCCCCTCACCCCAGAGATCTACGTTCTGATCCCTGGAACCTGTGGCTGTGTTACTTTCTATGGTAAACAGAAGGTGTTTTTAAGGTAAAAATCTTAAGATGAGGAGATGATCCTGCATAATTAAGGTGGGCCCAATGTAATCACGAGGGTACTATAAAATGGAGGCAGGAGAGTCCTGAAGATGGGAGCGATGCAGGGAAGGGGCTAGGAGCCAGGGAACGCGGTGGCTCTTGTAAACTGGGCAAGGTTAGGAAACAGAGTCTCCCCTAGGGCTTCCAGAAGGAGTCCAGCTCTGTGAACCCACTTTAGGCTTCTGACCTCTAGAACTTTAAGAGAATAACTTTGTCTGTTTTAAGCCACTAAGTTTGTGGTAATTTGTTACAGCAGCACCAGGAATCTAATACAGTGTGGTGGGTCCCTACTGAGAGTTCGGTTTTGACCATATTCACCTTGAGACATCCAGCTGGAGATGCTGGTAGGGGTCTAGAGCTCAGGAGGGGTGTCAGGACTGGAGTCAGGGACTTCGGAGCCATTGACAGGTTGATGGAATTTGAACACCCTGGACCTGACAGAGGGGCTCGAGCAGAGGGAGGCCTGCAGTGTGTTCCAACCTCTTCCCTGGCAGAGCCAAACGTTGATAGCGATAGTGTCTCTGGGCAAGTCTTGAGTCAGCAGCACTGGCTGCTCAGTGTAAGCCAGCAGCCTGCACACTGAGGCACCCCGGCTGAGGGGTCATTCTCTTGGAGCCACTCCTGGCTCCTCAGGCACACTGGTTGGGAAGCCCTGGGATAGCCTGAGCCAGCAAAGGCAAGATGCGAGCTGGGGGTTGAGGATGAGTGGTGGGAGGGACCCAGGAGAGGGCTAGACAGGAGTGGGCCAGGCATCAATTAACACAAGACACAGGGAGGGGTTAGACCTGAGAGGGGGCAGGGATGGGTGGAGTCACGCCCTGTGAACAGAGTTGAGGTTAGACTTCAGAGAGAAAAAAATGCAGATTCACACTGGAGAATGGACTTTGGGATGCTATGTCAGACCCTCCCACCCCCCTTCCATTGCCCTTTACTCCCCCCACCCCCAGATTCCCAGGGGGCTGGGTCACTCTGGACCTTGCTACTTCCTGCTCCTGGCAGCTACAGCTCAGAGACTATGGAGCTGTGGAGGCAGCTGAGGCAGGCTGGGCTGCTGTCCCAAGAGCTGGGCTCACTCCCCCGGGCCTTGACGAGTGTCCCCACATCAGGTAGAGCTGTCCAGATGTTTCCACAGGAAAACACTGAAGGTGCCAGGGAGAGTCTGCTGTGGATCTGGGAGGAGCTGGTGAGTGAGGGGTTTGGAGGGACAAGAGGCAGAGTACGGGGTGGCAATAGACTGAATGAATGAATGGGATGCATGGAAATAGAATGGGCCGGAGATTGAGAGACAAAAATTGAGAGACATGAATAGAGAAATAGAAGCGGAGACAGACAGACAGACAGACTGATACAGACCCGAAAAGTAGATACAGGAATACAGACAGAAATAGATGCAGAAAGAGAGAGACAGAAAGGGAAATCAGAGATTGAGAATAGCAACAAAGACAGAGAAACAGATTAAATATGAGAGACAGAGAGATGGGGAGAAAGGCAGAAAAATCGAGACAGAGAGAAAGGGATATGGAAAGACAGACACAGACAGGTGGAGACAGAGAGACAGATAACATGAAAGGGAAATAGGAGAAAGAGAGTTAAGAGTCAGACACACACACAGAGGTAGAAACAGTGAAGGTCAAAGAAATGGAGAGATAGAGACAGAGATCAAGAGACACTGGGAGAAGCAGAATGGAACTCAGGTCCAGGGACACGGAGAGGATCTGCCCAGGAACACATGTTACAGGTAGTAAGGTGACTAGTATAGAGACCACTGGTGTGGGATTTTGCAGTAGAGCAGAGAGATTGGGCTCAACTCCAAGTAAAGCATGGGCGAGTGGAAATTTACAGCCTAGGAGCAGCTGAGGGTCAGCGGATGGAAAATTACATCAGCAGGAAGTGGGGTTTTAGGGTAAACTGACTCAGCAGCATTCCTCTGGAAGGCAGGCCAGGGTGATCAGACATCACCTGGTGGGTGTGGAAGCATAAGGACCCCAATTAGATAAGATATGGAGAGTGTTCAGATATGGAGGATGGGGATTCTTGTTTACACTGGATTTTACAAGGAGGTGCACAGATGGGCCTAGAAGGTTCAGGAGCCTTATTAAAATGTGGTCAAACAAAGAATATTTGTCAGATTTTGAGCTGAACCTACTCCCACTCAGGTTGTGGTAGGGGGGCATGCTCTCTGGGAGGGAATGCCCATGACTCCCACTTCTGTCTGGCAGGGGAACCTCCGCAGAGTGGATGTCCAGCTGTTGGGCCAGCTGTGTACCCTGGGGCTGGAAATGGGGGTGCTTCGGGAGGAGCTGGTTGCCTTCCTGGAAGAGGAAGATGAGGAGACCCTTGAGGAAGAGGAGGAGGAAGAGCCTGAGGGGATACAAGAGGAAGGACCGATGGGAGTCTCCTGCCCAGCCCCAGGCTACCGCCTTCCTGACTTTGAGATGACTATCTGAAGCCAACGTGTTTCCCAGCAGAATATGGAATTTTATGCAAATTTATGCAAAAAGAGGGGTGATTTGCTGGTCAGAACAACCTGCAAATGTCGATTTGGAATCAACACCTGTTCCTGAGCAAGTGCTTCCTCTGAAGATGTGCAATGAGATTCAGGGATTGGCCTGTGAGCTGTGGGCATGTTGAAGATGATGTGGTTAAACTTGCAGAATAACTGCAGGTATATTTGCAGATGAGCTGCGGGAGTGTTGCCGGGGAGGAGGATCTTTGCAAGCAGAATGGAAATGCTTGCAGATGAGATTTTAGATCAAGGCCATCCACTGGCCTCAGGTGGCTACTGAGCACTTGACATTTGCTGGTCCCAACTGAGGTGCATACTAAGTGTGACATACGTGGTGAATGAAGACTTTTCAAAGGCTTAGTATCATAACAGAAATATGAACCAATAATCGTAAAAATTACATATTGAAATAATATTTGAGTATACTGTGATAAAATATTACTAAAATTAATTTTACTTGTTTATTTAAGATTTTTATGGTAAAATATACATTAAAATGAACCATTTTAACGATTTTTAAGTGTACAGGTCAGCGGTGTTAAGTACATTCACATTGTTGGGCAACCGTCACCACTGTCCAATGCCAGAGCTCCTTTCATCTTGCAAAACTGAAATGGTACCCATTAATCAGCTCTCTGTGCTACTCTTCCACCAGCTCCTGGCAACCTTCATTCTCCTTTGTGCATCCATGAATTTGACTACTGTAGGAACCTCATGTGAGTGGGATTGTTAGCATAGGTAGTTAGCTAGTTATTAATAAAGAGGGAAAACAAAGGGAATCAGACATGGAGCTTAATAAACTAGCGAGATGAATCCAAGCTTAATAACCTGGGAAGCTGAGTCAAATATTGGGCCTTCTACTAGGAAGCTATAGGTTTCACAGACATGTTTACACACTCCAGGGGACTGCTGCCCAAAGTAAAGCAGGCAGGAAAACCTCCCTGGGGGTGCCGCCCCTGATATCCTTATTACCAGAGGGAGGAGGAGGGCAAATTCCTCTGCTGAGCACATGGGTAGTAAAAATGAGATGACATAACAGAACTTTTACGCATGCACAATAGAAGCCAAAATGGCAAAACGAAGGGGAAGAATCTAGCCTGGGGAAATCCGGGAAAAGAATAGGATTTGGTAAGGGGTACAGAACCTGCTAGGTCCAGGAATGAAGCTGGTTAAGAGGAGTGCCCAACTCAGGCTTGGGAAGAGTCAGGAATTTGGTGGTTTGGTTTGCATTGCATTTGGCGGTAACTGAAAGCCAGGAAAATGTATGCAGGATTATAAAAAATCTCGGGACAGCTGCTGCTAGAGCCTGTACTCTCTCTACATTCCTGATGGTGTATTATTTCCCTTTACCACAATAAAATACTACCACTCCAGTTAAACTTCTCCATGCACATGCCCTTTGAAATTCCTTTGCTGCAACACTGCAAAACAGCCCACTTTCATCAGCAACAGGATCGTATAGTATTTGTACTTTTGTATCTGGCTTATTTCACTCAGCATAATGTCTTTAAGGTTCATCCATGTTGTAGCCCATGTCAGAATTTTCTTCCTTTTTTATGCTTAATTATATCTCATAGTGTGTATATTCCACATTTTGTTTATCATTCATCTGTCCATGGACACGGGTTGTTTCTACATTTTGGCTGGTATGAATAATGCTATTATGACAGGTGTACAAATATCTGTTCAAGTTCTTGCTTACAATTCTTTTTAGCCTACTTAGAAGTGGAATTCTGGGTCATATAGTAATTCTATGTTTAATTATTTGAGGAACCAGCAGACCATTTTCCACAATGGCCATACCGTTTGATATCCTCACCAACAGTGCACAGGAGTTTTAATTTCTCCACATCAATGCCAACACTTGTTATTTTGTTTTTTATTTTTTTCATAATACATTCCTAATGGGTGTGAGTTTGAATCTCAGTGTGGTTTTGATTTGCATTTCCCCAATATTTAAAGATATTGAACATCATTTCAAGTGCTTATCTGTTTTTACATTTTTATTTTTAAATTTAATTTATTTAAAAAAATTTTTATTTTTATTTTATTTTTAGAGAGGGGAAGGGAGGGAGAAAGAGAGGGAGAGAAACGTCAACATGTGGTTGCTTCTCATGCCTAATGGGGACCTGGCCTGCAAACCAGGCAAGTGCCCTGACTGGAAATCGAACCAGCGACCCGTTGGTTCATAGGCTGGTGCTCAATGCACTGCACCGCACCAGCCAGGGCTTTATTTTTAAATTAAAAAAATTATTCATTTGTTTTAAAGCAAGAAAGAAAAGAGGAGAGAGAGAAACATCGATTTGTGGTTCTGCTTTGTTAGGAATTCATTGGTTGATTCTTGTATGTGCCCTGACCAGAGAGCAAATCCACAACTTTGGCATATTGAGATGATGCTATAGCCAACTGAATTGCCCAGCCAGGGTCTCTTATTTTTTTCTTTTTAACAGATTTTTATTTATTTACTTATTTTTAGAGAGGGGAAGGGAGGGAGAAAGAGAGGGAGAGAGACTTCAATGTGTGATTGCATCTCGCATGCCCCTTACCAGGGACCTGGCCTGCAACTCAGGGATATGCCCTGACTGGGAATCGAACTGGTAACACTTTGGTTAGCAGGCCAGTGCTCAATCCACTGAACCACACCATCCAGGGCACTTCTTACATTTTTAAACATGACTGCAAGAAAATGAAAATTACTCAGGTAGCTCCCATTGTGTGTCTACTGCACAGCATTATTTCAGAGATTTGACAACGGAGCGTGGGTGTGAGCAGATGAGCAGTAAGGGTTTATAGATGTTCTCAGGAGTTTTGCAAATGAAACAGCGCCGCCTGCAGGAGACAGACAGTTATTGCACATGGTGGCTGAGGGAAAGCAATCTGCAGGTGTCACTATTGCTTTGGTCCACAATTGCAGAAAAAACTCCGAAGGCAGCAGGTGGAGGGCTCCAGCCCTAGGAGAGACATCACTTCAGGGGAGATATTTGGGCATTCACAAGACCAGACGCACTGACATTTTTGAAATTCTGCATCCAAGCCCTTTCTATTAGGGAGTGAGGATGTTCCCAGGGAATTGAGGTGTTGGCAGGAGAGGTGCTGAGTCCCTATCTATGGAGACTTACTTCTTAAAAACGACTGCTTCCTGCCCTGGCTGATGTGGCTCTTGGGTTGAGTGCCATACGGCGAATGAAAGGGTCGCCAGTTCGATTACCAGTCACAGCACATGCCTGAATTGCGGGCCAGGTCCCTAGTATGGGGCACTTGAGAGGAAACCACACGTTGACGTTTCTCTCCCTACCTTCCCCTCAATAAAAATAAATGAATAAACTATTTTTTTAAAAAAGCAACTGCTTGCTTTTGTCCAGCGGAGCCCCCTAAGACTGGGGGCTTTGAGTGGGTTTGTGGGTTCAAGCTCCACCTCCAATCTGGTCCTTCTTAGCCAATCATAGCCAGGTCTATAGCTTCTGGGAGCTCTACTGTACTGGGGAGGCTGAGGAGAAGGCTGAAAGTCAAACCCCAGTACCCAGTGAGGGGGGAAACACACCCCAAGAGCATGCAGTGAGCAGAACTTTCTCCTTTCTTGGCACTCTAGAAAGAGGCTGGACTCTCTGGCGTCTCTTGGAAGTTACGTCCAAATGTGCTTGGGTCATGCTTCACAGTTGCCAAGCTTCTTGTGGGGGAAAGAGACTGGGGTTGGGGGAGAGGCACTGAGGGGAAACCGGAGGGAGGACTTGGGAGGGAATGCACGCTGTGCAATTCCAGCATGGTGGGTGGCAGTTCTTCTCAGCCATGGCCTGGACCATGGAGGTGACATTTATGGGAACTTGGGTGGATGTGGCCTGTTCCCTCTGTATAATAATCAGTGCCGGTGTTACTGTGCCACATCCAGCTATGGCCAAGTCAGCACCAGGCCTGCCTTCCTGGACTCCTCCCCTTTCAGTATAAAAGGGGAGGAAAACCCTCACCACACAGGGACAGTCAGGATGTTCCGCGCTGGGATGGAAGAGGCACAGTTGACTTAAGGTTCTCAGACGAGGCAACAGGCCTGGCCTGAAACATTTGGAAAGTGTTCTCAGAGGAGGATGGAAGAGGAGGAAAAGTGAGCCAAGCAATGAGAGGGAATAGGAAGAGCATAATAAGCAGAAAATGAACATACACAAAAGCCACGTGATGATCTAGTGATCTACGCTCTTGCTACTCCAGGTGTGGTGCTGGACCAGAGTGTCAGCTGGGCTACAGCTACCTCCTTATTCATAGCAAACAACCCCAAACTCAGTTGTTTTAAAATAATGGCAGAATGCATTTTGCTTACAAAACTGCAGTCTGCAGGGATGGCTCATCTCAGGTTCAGCTAGAATCATCCAACGGCACATTCAACTCTCAAGTCTGCAAGTTGGTGCTGGCTGTTGCCTAGGGACCTCTGCCCCTCCCCACATGGTCTCTCCAGGTAGGCTAGATTGGGCTTTCACACAGCGTGGTGGGTGGGTTCCAAAGGTCAGGGTCCCAAAGATGAGCCAGGGCGAAGCCACATCCCCTGGAATGGTCTCCCTTCAGAAGTCACGCAGTCGCTCTTACTACATTTCGTTTGTTAAGGCAATCACAAAGTCCTTCCTGGTTTAAATCAATGGGAAATGGACTTAAAGTTTTCTTATGAGAAATGCATGCAGGACAGGAAATATTGCTGTGGTCATTTTTGGAAAATACACTGCCACAAGCTACACCTGGGAGCTTGGTAGGCATGCTGATTCCCAGGTCCCACCCCAGACCTACTGAATCAGAACCTGCATTTAATAAGATTCTCAGGTGCTTCTTTTGAATGATCAGTTTGAGAAGCCCTATTCTAAATCAAGAGTGTGGCACTGTTTTGAGCAGGAAGGGGCATGCATTAAGTTTCAAAAGCTTCCTCTGGCTGCTGTGTAGAGCCAGCTTGCCCCTTTGAAAGTA